AGCCAAATTCTCGTCATTTGCGGGAGGTTTTAATTTTCTGCTTCAATATGAAGAAATCTGCGGCTAAGGAAGAAATCATCGAATGCTCTCAAATACTTATGGTGAGGCCGCTATTAGTGAAAGAACGTGTCGTGAGTGGTTTCAACGCTTCAAGAACGGTGATTTTGACGTCGAAGACCGGCATAGCGGTGGAAAAGAGAAGGTTTTCGAAGATGCAGAATTGGAGGCATTACTTGATCAAGACTCGTGTCAAAATCAAGAAGAATTGGCACGATCATTGGGAGTGACTCAACAAGCCATTTCAAAACGCCTCAAAGCCATGGGAATGATTCAGAAGCAAGGAAATTGGGTGCCGTACGAATTGAAGCCGAGAGATGTTGAACGGCGTTTGTTTGCTTGTGAACAGCTGCTTGAAAGGCAAAGACGGAAGGGATTTCTGCATCGCATTGTGACTGGGGACGAAAAATAGGTTCATTACGATAATCCCAAGCGCAGAAAATCATGGGGAGTTCCTGGCCATGCTTTCACGTTGACAGCCAAACGAATATTCACGGCTCCAAGGTCATCCTCTGTATTTGATGGAACCAGCTCGGTGTAGTGTATTAAAACCGACTGAAATAATCACAGGCGATCGGTATCGAACGCAATTGATGCGTTTGAGCCGAGCATTGAAAGACAAACGGCCGCAATACAACGAGAGACATGATAAAGTGATTTTGCAACATGACAATGCTCGACCCCATGTTGCGAAAGTGGTCAAGACATACTTGGAAACATACTTGGTTGAAATGGGAAGTCCTACCCCACCCGCCGTATTCTCCAGATGTTGCTCCCTCTGACTATCACTTGTTTCGATCAATGGCATACGGTTTGGCTGACCAGCACTTCCAGTCTTATGAAGAAGTAAAAAATTGGATCGATTCGTGGATCGCCTCAAAAGATGACCAGTTTTTTCGACGCGGGATTCATACGCTGCCCGAAAAATGGGAGAAAGTAGTGGCCAGCAATGGACAATACTTTGAATCATAAATGTATAATCAGTTTTTTACAATAAAGCCTCGAATTTCGGAAAAAAATGGCGGAAGCAAAGTTGTACAATATTTGTCTTCTCTTTTCAAAAAAAGATATTTACTAGGATTGACTTTTAAATTCGCATCTTGTAAACGTTGAAAAACTTCGTTTAAATTAACCATCATCTCTTTGAAATTTTTTCCGAAAATAATCATATCGTCCAATTACACAAAACAAGTGCTTGAAATTAACCCTTTTAAAACTTTATCCATAAGACGTTCAAAAGTTGCAGGGGCATTGCAAAGACCGGAAGGCATAACAGTAAATTGCCAAAGACCGATAGAAAAAGCAGTTTTCTCTCGATCCTTTTGATCTAAACTCACTTGCCAATATCCGCTTTTTAAATCAAGAGTACAAAACCATGAATTCCCTGCCAAACAATCCAAAATACTGTCTATCCTTGGAAGCGGATAGAAATCTTTTGTTGTGACAATTGTTTAACTTCCGAAAGTCAACGCAAAATCTTATAGCTCCATCTTTTTTTTTACCAAAACTGCTGAAGAAATCCAAGGACTGTTAAAATCCTCTATTACCCCTTGAGATTTCATCTCTTCCAAAATTTTATTCACCTCGAATCGCAAATGCAGAGGAATTCGGCGAGGTACTTGCTTAATAGGACGAGAACAATTTTATGTTATGACACAAAATATTATAATTTTTGGCAACAATATTTTCGGAGAATATATCTACAAATTTCAGTAAAAAATCAGAGAAAATCTGTTTTTCAAGAGTATTCAGATTCCAAGAACTTTCCTCGAAAATTCGGGAAACTGAAACAGGGAGCTTAACAGGGCAATTCTCTATCCGAGAACAAATCATCATGCTCTCCTCCATTACTTCGCCTCTCGTCAAACCGAAGGCGTTTTCAAGAAAACAGTCGAAAATTCAGGTTTTGGAGAGAAAATTCTCTCCAAGAATGCATTCATCGCTAGTTTCCGCAACATAGAACGGCAAATCAATATTTATCTTTCCTGTAGAAACTGTGGCGAAAACTTGAAAAATTACAGACACCTTTCCTCCCGTAGGATACCTCAAATTGCAAAAAACTATCGGTTCCTGCTTCAAAGAAGCCGCCATTCTGGCGCTTAATACCGACACGTCCAAGCCCGTATCTATTTTAAAAGTACACGGCCTATCATTTAAATTGCCTTTCACACAAAAACGTCCGCGCGCGATTGTACCCATCCCTCAGAGACGACGCACGAGAGCAGCGGGGCCGCACGCGCAAACCGGGATCCGAGCTTCTTCTGCCGAGCTAGCCTCGATCAACCCGACAAAACTTAGTTTTCCGTTCTCTCCAGCGTCGGACACTCAGAACAGAAATGTCCGGTAGCACTACACTGCCAACATTCTTTAACCTTCCACACACTCCCCTTTCCATTCTCAGCAAAAATCTTTTTCTCCACTCCCCGCGCCCGTTTCAAAATTTCGCCATGACTGCGGTTGGTATGAGAATTTGACGCTACTTCTTTTCTTTCCGGAAAACTACTCTAATTTATTAACTTTAATGTTTTTGCACGCTCAATTGCCACGCAAAACGAACTTATCCCCTCCAATTGAAGAGAGCGTTTTACAAACCCGTCAGACAAAGCAGCGATAAACTGAGAACAGGCGATTTTTTCACGCACCTCAAGCGGGATTCGGGATACGCTTTTCGTGCTAAGCGCTTTAAATCCGCGCCGATCGACGCAAAATCCCAAAAATTCACGCAACGGAGCTGTCCCGTTGAAAATATCCAGCTTAAGCTTTAACACAGACCCCGTTCGCCGCCGTCCCCGTGCACGACTCGCAAGATTCACGTATCGCGCCTGTCATGCTCTCGCATGAAGTGACATTTTCGGAGGGACTTAGCTGTGAAAGTCATTGCTCCAGACGGTTCAGGACAACATCGCGCTCTTAAAGACGAACCTCCATCTCGCTGCGGAAATGCTGTTGCTCCTGACTCTCCCGCCGCCGCTCCTCGCGCAGCTGCTGCAACTGTAACAACACAGCCTCCAAGGCGTTCTCCGCCTGAGTCAAAGTCACGGCTTGAGAGCGGGTTCTCACAGGGAAGTGTGCCATTGCCATTTTTCATGGAAACTCTCTGTAGCACCGCACTGAACCACTCACTCGCGTCCCGCCGCGTTTGTATCTCAAAATTCGCCCGACCATCTGCTCGATCGTAAATCCTGGGGTGCGTTCGAAAACATTGAAAGTCCACGACGGAAAGTGGCTGTGGTGGATGGGCTTGGTGGGGTTAGTGGAGTTGGTATCGAGAGAAGTTTTCGAACAGCCATGGAAGAATGCTCAATGTGACATACTACATGTGTGTTGTGCCTACATATGTTGTACAAAATGATCGAAAGCGTATTTCGACATTAGCTATAATTGCTTCTCAGCAAAATAATAATAAATTAATAAATTTAGTAATTAATTAATTAATTAATTTAGTAATTATTAATTTATAATTTAGTTATCTGGAAAGTTAATTGATTATATATTCCTCGGTCCGAGAACTCGGATCGATTTCTAGCATCGTGGGCACCAGGCCTAAGGAAATTTATAAACTTATTTATTACTCCTTACCTTTAACATCGTATATATAGACATTTCCCTTGTCATCCTTTTGTATATTTTTTTTAATATCCATGCATAAAATATGACGACCCGGGATTAAATTTTCCATTTTTTTTCACAAATTGTTACTGATTCGTGACTTTTAACGTGCCTCGTATCTCGTAAGAAAATTTCAGAACCTATAAAATACAAAAAGCTTAATAAGCTTTATTTATATTTAAAGACAATATTCTGACAATATACATCACTATAGAAATAAACCTAAACCTGGCTAACCTACACTGCTGTATTTAAATTTTTTATCTTACCGTGATGGCTAATGGTTGTACGAATGTTTCGAAGAACAAAAAACCATAAATAATTTAATAATTTCATACTGTATTGCACTCTTTGCGCACTCTCCACCATCTCCACCGATTCACACCGCGCAAAAGAGAGTGGAGAAAAGTCACACGAGTGGTCCACGGAGTACGGTTTTCGAACGGCCATGGTCGCATGGTCAGTGTGCCCACTAGGGGTTTTCGAACGATCTGAGTGTGACAAAATACACACGGGTGATGTTTTCGAACGCACCCCTGGACCATCGGATCGCGAACAATCGTATCCCGGACGAGCCCCCAAAATGTTACGCGCGCGGAACGCAAAAATAAGAACACAGTTTCGCAGAACAAACAAGAACTCTATTTCTATTTATGTACAAACGAACGTTTTTAAAAAGCTGAGAAAAATCGGAGACATGTCCGCCGTTAAGCGCAATCTCTCTCCAACTCCCCGTTGACACTTCGTTGTCGTGACAAACAGCTGATCCGTTGACAC